AATATAAATGCTTTAGACTAGTCTTTATGCCCTCTTAAAGAGAGTGGATGGTGGTGGTAAAGATTTACCTTGATCATAAAAGTTTTATTACTTGGTTAATATGAAGCTATCAAGTAAGGAGATCCAAAAGTATATTCATTTGGAAGAGGGTGGTAAAATATTCAAAAAGGAAACCATGCCAACTCTAAGCTAAACTGACTATAACAAAGGAGTTCCAAGTCTAAGTGGCTTCATATAATACAAACTTATTTTTCTCTTATGTGTAGGACAGATTAATGTGATTAGTCAAGACTATGTGCTTTCCTTCAACATGGTGACTCTGGGATCCAAGCATGTTACATTATGTGACTTTCCTATATTGGGAGTTCCTCAGTTGCTCTGTGAGGACAAGGATGAGGAAGAAAAGGGTATAGGAGTAAGGAGGAAGAGAGGATGGGGAGGGACAGGAAGGGAGGGAGGGAGAAACAGAGACAGACACTATATTTCTTCGGCTGCCCTGTTCCCTATCAATGGTCCAACATGGCTGCAACCTATACACCAGGGGTTTTGGGAAATCCAGTTTCCCTGAATTCCAGTTTCCCTAAATTCCCTGCAATAAGAAGCAGAATAGATGAGTATCCAGCAATTCTGGCACCAAGAGTTAGCCATACAATATATTTTCTATTAGAGAAAGACATTTTTTAAAATAACCTATTTATATACTTCAGTGTAAACTGTTCTTGAAATTCTATAATGCTAGGACCAGCAGATGACCCAAGAGAATTTATGAGTCATTATGTTTTCTTTTCATTTTAGAAATTTGTAGAAAATAAGGGAATCTACTGAGACATCTACTTCTGAGCATTTCATTTTTGTTCAGTTAGCCAGTAAACAAGGACTCCAGAGGACAGTTTCTTAGTGGCTGTCCCTGGCAATTGAGTTCCTATTACACAGAAAGTTTTTAGGTTTTTCATCCTGCCCTTGTTTAGTAAATGACAAAGGCAAAGAAGTCAATGATCTTGTTATACCCTGAGATTACATGAGATAATCTCAGAAGTAGAGTTTTTTTTTTTTTTTTTTTTTTTAAACTGCTCTTGGAACCAGTATTTGTCCTTAGCTCTGGTGGAAGAGGAGATGGCAGCTTTCTCTGTTTTAAATCACTAAATGAAGTGGCTTACCCCTCCAGGTTTATTAATGCTATTTAACTTGAGCAGTTAGTTCTTTTGAATCATAATTAGTCTCCGCACAGAGTTGGTAGACCTTGAGAATTTATAGCCACATGGTACTTGGGGCCATGTTTAAGGTTCAGGGTTAATATGTACATGGTGTTTTGTGGTGTTTCATTGTTCTTTGCATTGATTTTGAATTCCGCTTTTCTTTTGCCAAAGTTGAAATGTTTAGCACATTTAGGAAACAATAGGTCATAGTTGATTGGGTAGTCTCCAGCATGAGGCTGAGTTTGAATCCCACCTCTGCTTCTCAATCACTAAATGACCTTGGACTCTATGGGCTGCCTAGGAATAGTGGTAACAAACACAGTAGACTGGAGTGATTGAACAATAAAAATGTTTTATCTCATGATTTTGGATACTGTAATTCTGAAATAAGGTGTCATCAGGGTTAGTTACTTCTRAGGCCTCTTTCCTTGGCTCGTAGATGACTTCTTCCCCTGCATCTTCACGTGGTTTTCCTCCTGTATGTGTCTGTGTCCAAAACTCCTCTTTTTATAAGGTCACTAATAAGAATAGATCAGAACTCACCTGAATTACCTCATGTTAATTTACTTACTTTAAAGACCCTGATTCCAAATATAATTGCATTCTGAGATACGGAGGGTTGGAACTTCAACATATAAATTTGGTGGGTATGGGACCCAAATCAGATCATAACTGGCCCTCAGTCTGCCTGATCTTCAAAATGGGTTAATAAAAGTACTTCACAGGATTGTTTTGTGTGTTCAGAGAAGATGCATACAAATTGCTTAGTACAATACCTGAAATCTATTGAGCATTCACTAAATAGTACTATAATCATAATTTTTTAAAATCTAACAGTATCATCTCTACCACTTTGGAGATGGTTTTGTGCATAGCTTTTCAATTACTGAAGCTTGAGATTATCATTGTCTTTCTTGTGCCCCCATAGAATCTGAACAGGCTGCCTTCAACAGAGTAACAGGACAAATGTCCAGGGAGCATAGATTGAGTGAATAGGTATGAATTGGTTTTCTGTGGATATCACTTTGGTGTCATTGGACTGTGGAAAGCTCTTAGGCATCCTGGTTTCTGTAGTGGCCTGTCCCATGGCTCTACCAGATCAAGATAAGTAGTCTCTCCACATTAGGAGCAGGGGACAGAAAGCTTTTTGCATTGTTGGGGGTAACATAAAAGTGTTAGATCATAAAGCATAAGAATTATACAAGCGCTGGAGGTGATTTTTTTTTTTTTTTTGGATGAACTAAGGGGCACTCGACCACTGAGCCACACTCCCAGCCCTATTTTGTATTTTACTTAGAGACAGGGTCTCACTGAGTTGCTTTTGCTGAGATTGGCTTTGCACTCATAATCCACCTGCCTCAGCCTCCTGAGCTGCTGGGATTACAAGTGTGGCTAGAGGTGATTTTTAAGTAATACAATATGTATTGTTAGCTATTCCTAATTTTTCTAGACTTGATGAAAAATTTATAGAGTTTTTTTCATACTAATATTGTAAGTCAGTTATTTCAGGCTCAAGGAATTGCCTGTATCTTAAATCCTTGGCATTTATTTCGACTGGTGTAAATGTTCTTTGCTGTAAAAAAAACAAAACAAAACAAAAAAACGGTGCTACTGTCATGTCATGTCACAGTTGCAGCTTGTGTTAAATAACAACAAGCATTGCTGTCTGTTAGTGTCAGAAGAAGGAAGATCAGATTGCATGGTCTCTGATGTAAGTTGGAAAGAAGGTGAACATGCAACCCATCAATTAAAAAAAGCTTTGAATGTTGTGGTGTGTTTTGTTTTTGTTGTTGTGACCAAAATACCTGACCAGAACAACTTGGAGGATGAAAATTTTATTTTGAGATCATGATTTCAGAGGTTCAGTCCATGGTTGGCTGATTCTATTCTCCTGGGGCCCAGATTAGTTAGAACATCAGGGTGGAAGGGCATGGTGGAGGAAAGCTGCTTACCTCGTGGTGGTCCAGAAGCAGAAAGAAGGTGAGAGGATCCAGAAACAATATGTATAATCCTCAAGGCATGCCCCCCATGACTGACTTGTTTTTAGCCATGCCCCACCTGTCTACAGTTACCACTCAGTAGTTCAGAGTATTATTTTATATTCAAATATTAATTCAAATAATATATTCAAATTATCAATCACATGGATTAACCCACTAATTAGATTATGACCCTCATGCATTAACATGGGAGCTTTTGGAAGATATCATCCAAACCATAACAGGTGGGGACTAGTGTGTCCACTGATAGCAGCTGATTATGTAGGCTTTATTAACTAGGAATATGGGGCTCATTCCTCATAGATCATGCTCCACTCCACTTAGGGCATCAGCTCCTAAGCTGAGGCAAGGGCACCCCGAGTTTCACCAACCAGTTCCTTTATTCTCTATCATGTCAGCTACTGAATCTTGTCAGTTTTTCTTTTGAAATGCCTCTGAAATTTTTTCTTGTAATAAAAAGTTATTTTATGACAAGTATGAGGACTGTCACATATAAATACTGTGATACAATGAGAAATAGATACTTGGTCTTTGTCTCAGGTTCCTAGCACAGAGTTCTAAAAACCCTTGGAATCTCCACAGTGATGAGTGTCTTTTGTCCTATAATGAGATTACTGCGAGCTCCAGGCCCCTATGTAGCTTCAGGGTGGAGCTGGTTATTCAGAAGACGCAAAGCCTGATTAGAGAATTTGAATTTTCAGCCCCATTCCTGACTAGCAAGGAGAAAGGGGCTGAAGATTGAAGAAAAATAATCTCCACTAGAAGCCCTAACCAAAAGGTATGGAGAGCTTCTGGGCTGGTGAACCCATAGAATGACTGAGTGGTGTGACTGGAGAGGGCATGGAAGTCCGCACCCTTCCCCAGTTCCTTCCCTCTGCACCCCTTCTATTTGGCTGTTTCCAAGTGTGTGCTTTATAATAAACCAGTAAGTAAACTGTTTCTTGAGTTCTGTGAGCCAGTCTAGCAAATTCTTGAACAGGACCAAGGGGTCATGGGAACTGACTGGTTAGAAGTACAGGTGGCCACCTGGGGCTTGAGAATGGTATCTGATGTGGGGCAGTCAAAGGTGGGTTGTGGCAACTCCAGGCAGTGTTGGAACTGAATGATATTGTTGGTGACTGGAAAATTAGAGAATCGACTGGTGTGAGGAAAAAACCCATCCATTTGCTGTCAGAAGCTTTGTGAGTAAAAATAGTGCAAGTAAACATGAAGCTATGAATATACATGAACTTATTTTTTCCTCACCATAAAATAATAGCTATATTCACTCTTTTTTTTAAAAAAATATTTATTTATTTATTTATTTTTAGGTATAGATGAATACAACACAATGCCTTTATTTTTATGTGGTGCTGAGAATTGAACCCGGGTCCCGCTTGTGCTAGGCGAGCACTCTACCGCTGAGCCACAATCCCAGCCCCTATATATTCACTCTTGTGACTGCAAAAATTAAAACATGTCTTATTAGGGATTAATGAAATATGGAATTAGGTAATTGGTTTCCTGTTATCTGACTTTTATATAAATTCATTTACTTTTCTATTTAAAACCAGAAACCTAAACCCAGCAGGGACAATAAACAAGTACCTTTTCTCAGGATTTCGCTCTTCTGCATTTCCACTGCCTTCCTGTCCCTCCATCTTCTAATATGGAGAAAAATACAAGACCTCTCACTGCTGTGTTTCTTTAATCCTATTGCTGCTTTATCTTTCCTTCTTGCTTTAGTTATGTTTTTATTTCCTAAAAGTATTCTGCAGATTTGCCTCTTGACATTTTCATTGATTCATTTTAATTGTTTTGGCAGAAAAGAGCAAGTTAGCGTCCTGTATCAAAACATCAACCTTGTGGAGCCAAGACTGATTCAGCCATATGAACATGTGATCAAGAACTTCATCCATGAGATCAAACTTCAAAGCACAGAAATGGAAAACCTGGCCATTGCTGTGAAGAGGTATGGAAGTTCATTCTAAGTGGCAGTAAGGCTCCTCTAATTCATTCTCTGGCGTGGGTAGCAAATGAACTGAATTGATATAGGCCATAAACAATCCAGCACTGGGTAAGTTGAGCCAGGCAGTGATTTATTGGGTCAACCATCAATGTATCAGTAGGTCATTGTGCTCCTATTATATCAACTGTTCAGGACCAATGATTCCATATGGAGCAATTCAGAGATTTATCTTATCTTATCCAGCCCCTTGAAGCACACAGAGAATTTCATCCAGATAGGTAGGCAGGACTCCATTTGAAGCCTGGCCTTATTACAGATGTAAGACCTCATGGGAAAGTTACCTAATCTCCCCAGGTCTCAGTTCCTGCATTTCAAAATGAGAATGAAAAATATTCACAGCCTCAGGGTGTTGCGCCTCAATAGATGATGTCATGGTTGGAGCTCCTCACAATATGCCTACCACATGTAGGTGCTCAGCAATGATGGTTTCCCTTTCCCTAACCCTCCTCAGTCAGCCCTCTCCCTGAACTGAAAGCCAAAGCACTGTTTAAACTCATCCTGTCATATGGAGAGTTCATGTAAGCCATGGCTTTCTTACATAGGGTATCCTCTTGTTTAAATAGCAGTTCAGTGCAAAATGAGAATTTATGTATCACAATCCAAACATCTGCTCTTTGCTCCCCAGAAGGACCACGCTCTTCAGCATATCTTGGGAAAGAGGGGACATCTTGTTCGGCACAGTTCCTGGGTGTCCTATTCCATAGCACCCTGCTGCTCTCTGCCCAGAACTTGTAAACACAGCCCCTTTGATAGCATGCTGCCCTGCCTGCCTGGGTGCAGGTGAAGCTACAGGCCCTCAACATAATGCTGAAACTATCTGAATGAGCCTTTGGAGTAACTGGAGGGGATTTAATATAGGAGGAGAAATTGTTTTAAAATTATAATGCTAAATAGAACTGTTCTTATAGTCCTAGAGTCAAGCAAAAGTTGAACTATTCACAGGGGGTTTCTTATGAACAGTTTCAAAATGTACCTAGCCCTGATCTTCACCTTTAGGTTTGACTTCTAGGGGGCTTTCAAGAGGGTGATCCTCAGACTCCAGATTCTGTAGTGCATCCTGGAGTTTGGACCAGAGCCACAAGAGGCATGACAAGCAGATGCATTGATTCTTGAGAGTGTCTACTGTCTATTAAACACTCACAATCATATTCACAAATGTGTATGTACAGACCCACACAAAGATGTGTGTCACATATTTTCACAAGCGTGCACCCTTTATAGATTCATCATGTAAACTGAAAAGGGAAGAGAAAAGGATGCCTTTCTTTGTGTTCTCACTGCCAGCCAGGCTTCTCTATCAAGGTGTAGTGAGTCTTGTCATGTTGTGCTGAGCTGTTTGTGTTGGTGTTACTCTCCTCCTGACTTCTGTGTTCTCTCAGAGGTGCGATATCTGGAGTTAGGCTCTTTCTGCAGTCTCCTAAAGGCCCCTCTTTTGCTATGAGAGGCCTCACTGATGTGCTTGAGTGGCTGCTTGTGAACCATCCTTTGAAAGCATCTCCACTCTCTCCTCTGCTTTTAGCTGAATGTGTGGTGGCGGGGGGTGGGGGTGGAGATGTCGTAGTAATTTTGCTTTGCACTTGTACTTGAAGGATGAGCTCCCAGTGACCAGGTGACAGTGGACAGTCCTAGCACACTAGACATTTTACTAGGAATTAGAAATTGCTAGGCAAAAAGAGTCATCATGTAATACCCTGATTTATATACCACGTGTGCACGTGTACACACTCACACACACCCTCACACACACACACAAATACACACAGAATGGAGAAAGGCAGAGAAAACATTTCCTGAGAAGTTCTAGATGTTTGGAATTTGATATCTAGAAGGAATAGCTGGAAGAAAAATAATCATAACAAAGGGAAAAAAGGCATGTGACCTTGTTATTTACAATATAGATTTGGTTTTTAATTTGATTGTGATGGAGATGCCTAAGTTCTAGACTTGGAGTAGCAAATATTTATAAATAGAACTAGTTAGCTTTCCAAACTTGGTCAACTCAACCCTGGGCAAGCTGTATGATTAGGAGGAAGTAAACAAGAACAGAAAATGATAATGTTTCTCAGAATTCACTTTGGATTCCCGACACTTGTCTGTAGTTGTACATAGAAGTTAAACTAATAAACAAAGTGTGCTGTGAGAGAGTGAATAATTCAATAATATGGTAGTATGTTATAGCATTCTCATCAAACTAGAAAGAAGATGGATGATCTTATATAAGTCCTGTCCTCTACTCTTTATTAACAGCATGCCATTGGTTCAAGGGAATTGACTCTCTAAGCCTCATGGTGGTTGCTGTCCGGTCACTTGTAATCTAGTTGGGAAGACAAGGCATTATGCAAGTGAAAAGCTAGATAGTTAGACAGGCAGCTGAGAGGACAAAAGAAAGTGTAAGTTTTTAAAATCTTAAACTTCAGCCATCAATCAAGTGACAGGTATGTCCTTACTAGACAATTTCTAGTAAGTAAAATAATCCTGGAATGCCTCTCACTGAAATTTTTTCCATTTATAACTTTTTGGCAAATCAGTATCTTTTGTCTCCATGGAGAGATGATTTATTAATTGCGTTAATAAAAGAAACAAAAATTTTCTACATGGCAACCTTATCTACATTCTAGAAGTTTGGCAAGAAGCTGATGAGAAACAAGTGCTGAAACCTCTTCTATTCCCTTTTCACTTTAGCATATAACATTGTGAGTTTCATATAATGAAAATTTAAAATCATAACCATTTTTTTTGCTATGGAGTTTTTGTTGTTGTTGTTGTTGTTTGTTTGTTTTGTGAGGAGGGGGGTTCAGGTTATAACTCAGTCATAAAAACAAAAAGAATTTTAAGAATTTGTTGAGAGTCTCAGTGATTTGGTGCTTTTGCCACTGTCTAACTTACTATCATGTAATCAAGTTTATCTCATTTATTTAATATCTAGTCATTTTATACCTGAATGGTCACATTACCAATCTTATTTTACTAACTGGAAGGAATGGGGAATATAATTTAAAATGGGGCATTTCTCTTCACCTATAAAATAACACTGTACAGAATGGATGAGCTCGAAGGTTCTCTTCATTGTCTATTCCAAGTATACAATGAACCATTCATTGTGCCGCCTTTTGAATTTCAGAGCCCAGGACAAGGCAGCCATGCAGTTGAGTGAGTTGGAAGAGGAAATGGACCAGAGAATTCAGGCTGCAGAACACAAGACCCGGAAAGACGTGAGTTTCTGAGACTGGACGTTTATTCAGCAGATCTTTATGGAGCACTTCTGTGGGTGTTGCTCCTGGACATTCCTCTCAGTGACAGGGTGTAAGCACAGAAGGTCCAGGCACCCAGCAAGGGGATTTTTACTGGTGGTGGCACCTGTGGCATCATTTTTTTATCCTGCAGTAAGAGCACACATGGCTAGCAAGTTGCTACAGGCATGTGGTCTCTGCAGCCACAGTACACCAGTCCAGGAACTCACAGGACCTCACTGTGCTTTGGCACTGGAAGGAAACCTATTGGCCAGCCTGTCCCAACAACCACTTCACACTCTTCTAGTCACAGTCCCTCTGGAATGTTATGTCCTAGCTCACTAAAGATTTCCCCTAACATTCCTCCAATCACCATGGCTCTCCGCAGCTCCCCGGGGTCTTGGTTCAATGGCATCACTGCTTAGGGCTCTGCTTTTGCTCCAGCCATTTTCTTAGCCTTGGTGATTGTTGTCCCATTCCTTCCACTTTGCCAAAATGCAAAGCTCAGATAAAGTCGCAACTTCTTGATGCCCTGCCCTAGTTCTCCAACCACATTCATCTTTTCCTGACCTTGATGACAATTCTACGTAGAGGGTATATTGCACTGTTTCAGGTTCTTATTTTTTTAATATTGTTAACAGCTTTATTGACATACACTTGGCATGCAATAAACTGCATAGAATATTTAAAGTGTAGAATATGTAAAGTTTGCATCGTCACACAAAACATCTGTCATCCGTGATGTTTCTATTTACCATAAAAATTTCTTTATGCCCCTTACTTAACAACCTTCCTTCCCTCCTTCTTTGTCCCTCCTTGCCAGGAAACCACCCTTTTGTTTTTTTGTCACCAAAGATTAGTTTGAAGTTTTGAGAACTGCATGTAAGTGGAATCTTGCAGTATGAACTATTTCTTGTCTGACTTCTACTCAGTGCAATTATTTTATAACCCTGATATATTATATTGCCATTTATCTATATTCTTTTTATATGTGGTGGTATCCCATTTTGTGATCATATCCACAGTTTGTCTATCCATTCATCTATTGAAGGACACTTATTTCCAGGTTTTGGCTTTTACAAATTAAGGTGCTATGAATATTCATATATAAGAACTTATGTAAGCGTATACTTTGATTTCTCTTGAGTAATTTCCTAGAGTGGAATAGTTTGATCATCTGTGTAGGTATATGTTTATTTGTTTAAGACACTGTAAACTGATTTCCCCAGTAATTGTACAGCAGTGTATGAGAACGGTGTCCTTTAGCATTGGAATAGGTGTATAGAGAAATTTTGTTATGCTTTTATTTCCATTTCTCCAATGACTAATGGTGTTGAGGATCTTTTCATGAGCTTAATTGCCATGTATGTAACTTCTTTGGTGAACTATAAAAATCTTTTGCTGGTTTTAAAAAATATGTCATTTTCTTGTTACTGAGTGTTCATAGTTCTTTACATATTATGAATATAACCCCTCATCAGAAACACCTGACCTAGAAACATTTTCACATAGTGTCCTTTCTTTTCAGTCTTCTAACAGTACATTTTGAAGAGGAGAAAATTTTAATATTGATGAAGTCTAATTATGAACTTCTTCTTTCATCAATTATGCTTTTGGCATGTCATTTAAAAAAATCTTTGATTAGCCCAAGTTACAAAGGTTTTCCCTTATGCTTTCTTTGATAAGTTTTATTGTTTTAGGTTTTACACTTAGGATCCATTTTGTTTTACATTTTGTTTTTTTATGATGAAATTTTAATTTTTAATTAAGTATACCCTATAGGCAAATGAGGATTTAGAACATTTTGTATTCTTTAATGAAGAATTACAAAGTGAATTCCTATGCACCAGAGAAATAGAACATTGCAAGTACCTTTAAAGTCTGGCTACCATTCCCATCCCTCATTCTATAAAGATTTCTCTGAATAGTTTATTAGTGGTGTCTTTATTTTTTATTATGGTTATGTAAATATAAACAGTACATTTTGCAACTTTATAAAAACAGAATTATTCTGCCTGAGTTTTTCATGGGCTTGCTKTACATTAACAGTATGTTGCTTACATTTTGTTTTTACATTTTGTTTAGGTTTTACACTTAGGATCCATGGTTTAAGATATGGTTGTTCTTTCTTTTTTTAAAATATTAATGTGGTGAATGACACTGATCATTTTTTTGAATGTTAAGAGAAACTTGTATCCTATGATAAACCTTGGTTGGTTGTGATGTATTATTATTTTAATGTATTGTTAAATTCAGTTTGCTAAATTGCATTTATCATCTCTGCATATGTATTCATAGGTGACATCAGTTGTGGTTTTATTCTAGTGTCTGTCTAATTTGGGTTCAGGCTGATGTCCGTCTCATAGAATGAGTCTTCCTCCCATGTCAGTTTGTGAAGAGCTGACTGGAACCACCACCATTTCTTACCTACATCATGTAATAAGTTGTCCCAGCATCTGCCTGTTGTAGATGGGGAATGACATAAAGTAGGTAGAAATGATTTTCTTTATTTAGCTCTGAGTAAAGTACCTTTAAGCTATAGAGGCCATAGGTTTGGTTTTATAGCCATGGATCCAGTGAAGATACTTGCATCCAAGTTGGTTTCTATGTCAGAGATGCTGCCTGCATTAACACCTGCTTGTAAGGCTTTGGTGTCTCCATCCACCTGTGAAATGAACAGTACTTATTGTACAGGTGGATAATGATAACTCCTTAAAAAATTAGATGCTGTTAGGGAAAATGTTGTTCTTCAGTTCAGTCTTTCACATAGATTATTTAATTTCCATGGATTATTCAACTTATGCAGATCATTTAATTTTCATTGGAGTATTTATTTAGATCATTTAATTTATGGGGGTTATATAATTTATATGGATCATTTAATTTATTTGAATTACTTAATTCTCACAGTCATGCAATAAGGAAATGGAGACATAAGGTAAGTAGTTTGCCCAACCTTAACTACCAGTAAGTGAGTAGCAAGACCCTTGACCTCGGCAGGGTATCCACATGTGGGATCATGCATCTCTGCAGAGAGGTATGACCACACCCCCATGAAACTGGCTTCCTGTCACTTCTTGGCCCTGTGTCACAATGTTAACAGTCTTAAAGGTATCACTTCAAGGTGGTGTGTGCATGTGGATCTTGAGATTCTTCCATATCTGTAGGTTTTAATTCCAGACCCTCTGCACATCTCAAGCCAACTGGTTTCTTCCTGCGATCCCCGTCACCCTCCCTGTGCAGGACAATTGAATTCAGCTTAGTTTGACACAAAGTGCTTCTCACTTATGAGCTTTTGAAGGCTTCTTATTATATAAGGCTAAGCCTATTTAAATAAACAAATTCTTTTTTTTCTTTTAGGAGAAACGCAAAGCAGAGGAAGCCCTCAGTGATCTCAGACGTCAGTATGAAACAGAAGTAGGAGACCTTCAGGTTACCATAAAAAAACTAAAGAAGGTAGCTATGTGGCAACTTGACTTCCAGGATCAGCCTCAGTATCTCAATGTTTCCATAATTAAGAATTCTAATTATAAATTGTTTTTTTGTGTGAAGAAGCTGTAAATATGCTACTCTTACAAATGAGTTCCAGAGAGGGCAAATAACTTGATCAAAATTACACAGCTAATGACTGATGGAGTCATCTTACTGCAAGTTGTGCCCACTTCTCACTTATACCAGACTTCCTGCCTACCTGGTATGGTTATTATATGAAAAAACAAGATGATTCATGTGACAGTATGTTAAAGGCAATAATAAAATCATAGAAATGCTTACAAATTTATTATTGCTATTAACTTATGTCATTGATTCTGAGAAACTCATTTCCCCCCATAACTTTTCTTCTGCAAAGTCAGAATGCATGTAAAACTCAGTGTTCTTCTCAGTCACAAGCAACCATGTGGCAGTCATGATGTAGTTGTGTAAAAACCTTCCATTGATATCATCTGTCAAGATGAAGAAAATCCAGAGCTGAAGTGCTTACACTTTATCAGATGTGAGATATATTTTGATCAAAGTATAGACATTCCAGAAATGCACACCCACAAATCCCCTCCATTTCAGGAGATGGAAACTCTTTATAGATAGGACACTTTTGCTCCCCAGGTTGTAGATGTTCCTGAACCAGATTAGTCTAGTAATACTAATGAGTCAAGCAGTAAGCACAGCTCATGTATGCATTTACACAATTGTGCTTGTGAGAGTGTGTGTGAGAGTGTGTTTGTGTGTGTGTCTATCTTCATATCTTGCTTACATGTTATTGGTTTCAGTTATTTAATAAATATTTCTTGAATTCACCATGATGAAAACATAGGTGAATCTAACTCTAACTCTGCTCTACAAAAATCTTAGACTTTAGTAGGGATGGGAAGACATTTATAAAACAATTACCATGCAGCATAGGAAGTGTTCCATGCAGAGAATGGAAGTGTCCAGACTCAGATGCAGCATAATTGAACAAAGCAAAGACTGGATTGCTTTATAGTTGAGTGGTTTCCAAAATAAGGCTTTCTCACTATTTCTAAGAAAATTAATTTAACAACCAAACCTCTTTTTCAGGCGTTTAAGATAAATATTTTAACTCTTTATGGATTCTATGTCATTTAATGATGTATAAAGTCATATATAATGTTGAAAATTGAAGAATTCCCAAATCTCTATTCAGGGATATTCCTAAACTTAATTCAGTGACAGTAAATTTGTGAAGTTACAGCTTTTATATGTCCTTTCAGCTTGAAGAACAATCAAAACACATAAGTCAAAAAGAAGACGTAGCAGCATTAAAAAAACAAATTTATGATTTATCAATGGTAAGAATCACCTTTTCACTTTCAAAATTACATTTCCTGCTAGACAACATAGACATAATCACACGATTATTTCAGTGCTTTAGGAATGGGAACTTAATGAGAAATTGATACCTTAGTTAGAGAAAGTTTTTAAAGTACTTTTGAGCAAAGGTGTTATATATGCAGATTTTTCCCTTCAGCAATATGCCATTTATGGTTTTATTTATTTTTGGTTTTATTTATTTTTATTTAATAAAGACATGGAAGTTAAACTTTACCCAACATAATAACCCATTTTTTTGTCATCGACTCTACTTCATAGCTCTGGTGTTGTAAGATGAGATGCCCTAAACTTCCTCCAACTGTTCTCTTTCTCCCTTTTCTATCTTTTCACCACCAGATCTTTACTTTTACTGCTGCAAAAATTGATAACATTTATATCTGTTGTGTTACCATTACTAATCTTGGATTTTTTTTTTTTTTTTTTATTGTTTAATTTTCTTTCTTTTTTTTTTTATTGTTGGTCGTTCAAAACATTACATAGTTCCTCATACATCATATTTCACAGTTTGATTCAAATGAGTTATGAACTCCCAATTTTATCCCGTATACAGATTGTTGTATCACATCAGTTACCCTTCCATTGATTGACATATTGCCTTTCTAGTGTCTGATGTATTCTGCTGTCTGTATTATTC